ACTTATGAGTTCCTGGCTGATAAAGGTATACCTTGGACCAAGAAAAGATCCAGATTGCTTCGAAAATCAAAGGCAGTTTTAACTTTACTAAGAATTGTTATTCCAAAACTTGATATGTGAATAAAATTAGTGTAAAATTAAAACAACATACAAAATTTTTATATTGTTTTATATTTATCTTATTCTCATAATGAAACACACACACACACAATTTTATTGCTTTGGTATTCACTACATAATTATTCTGTTATCTCAAATTTCAAGACCATAGAATTGACAACAATCAAATTTCGAGACATTAGCTTCTCACCAAGTGATAAGTTTAACACGTGTTTTCACATTGACTTACGAATTCTAATCAATTTCATGACAGGAAACATATAATTACTAATAATTCAAGACAGAAACTTAACATTTCCTGTATTTTTTGTTACGCTGACGTTCATTGGATTTTTGATTGACAAACAAATGATGTGTTGGTGCTAAGACTTTGTCAATAACGAATTATTGGAATTTTGTATGATCAATAACTAACAATGTGCTATCGTTTATTTGAATAATTAATGAATTATTGGCTTTAATTACACAAGTCTAAAGAGTACAAAAGGTAAACTAAATCATTGGTTTCAACTTCTGGTTTCAAAAGTTACCCAGACAATACCCTATGGTTTCAACGGTTCCAAGCTAGCCTGGCCCTCTGATAAATTTAATTAAATACGATTAACATTTGCTCAGCTGTGTTCAAAGGGGTTATCTTTAATTTGAATATGTAATGGTACCACCTTGTGTCAGTTAGGGAGTGTATAAACAGTTTCGATAAACCATTTGACAAGTACTTCGTTTTCCAAAGATAGATAACCTTTTTTCAATCAAATTTAACTCCAAGTAATTTTTAATTCACTGTAGAATATTCAGTTTCATTGAGAAATGTTAGGTCTTAAGTGTACAGTATACTTATGAGGAATGTTTATATTCTACTACTCTGGATTGTTCTTTGTTTTAAAGAGTTTAAACAAAGCTTTTGTGATTTATTACAAATGGACATTCATTATTTGTTAAGAGACTTAACATTCAATCACCTATTTAAAGCAATGTAAATAATATTATTACATATAATACTATCAATGCTTTAAATATGTAGAGACTTTACACATCAAGCACCTGCTCAACTTAACTTTTAGTTTGATTACTTCTACACATATTATTACATTATTGAAATATTTTTTCAGCTGTGTTTGAATGCACTTTTGTTAATTGGAAACTTTAATGGTCAGACAATTTGTAGATAAATAAATATTGGATTTCATTAGATACGGCCAAAGAGAACGTTTATTGTAACATTTAATGATTAGGCAATTTGTAAATAATCAAATATTTGATTTCATTATATACACCCAAAGAGAATGAATGATAAAAGGATAGGATTAATTGAAAGCTGTACTACAATAGCTTGATGTAACAATTAATATTTGCTATGTTGATGTGAATTAATGGAACATGGTTGAATCTAGATGGACAAGCAATTAATGTCTTAACACTAAGGACTTGTTAATGTTAAATTTTTGAATTTTATTGTATCAGCTTTAAATCTATAAAGACCATCTGGGACATTAGTATTAACTGATATTAGTTCTTCTGGAGTGATTAATAACCAATAGCTAAAATGAGATATAACATTTACCCTAATGGGGTGACTTAAGATAACAATGTGCTATTGTTTATTACAATATTTAAGGAACTATTAAATTTTATTGCAAATGTTTCAAGAATATAAAGGATAAGTTTCAAAGTATACAGACAATACCCAATAGTTTCAATAGGATTCAAATTTTTTGGACATTAATTGGTTTCAACTATTTGGGTTTCAAAGTTTCCAAGACAAAACCTACTGGTTTCAATTGGTTTTAAATCTTTTTGAACAGTCCCTTAGTTGTTTACATCTGTGTTTACCCAGTCAATACCCAATGGTTTCAATTGGTTTCAGATTATTTGAACAGTACATCTGCTTTCAAAAGTTACCAAGACAACAGTCAGCCATCTTGAATTTCGCCTGGGCAGGTAAGTCAGCCATCTTGTCATTATTGACGTCACAGTTCATCTGACCAATCAGGTTTCGGGTTTCCGGTTTCAAAGTTACCACGTTTCCGGTTTCAAAGTTAAGTAGTTCTGGTTTCTGGTTTCAAAGTTACCAAGACAACGACTTCCGGTTTCAAAGTTACCAAGACAACGACCAATCAGATAGGTGCACCAGATGCACCACATGCACCATGTGTCTCAAAAGTCCGAACTATACTACTGATTGGTATGTCAATTTTACATATTGCTTGTAATTTTGTCACCCCTATAGATCTGATTCTGCCTTTAAGAGATGGGTTACGATTGCTTTTTCCATCCCACTATGTTGTCAGCCATATTTAAAGAGAATGAATAGTTGAATGAATGAAGCCATTATGCTTCTAAAGGGATAATTTTGGGATGTGGCAAAGATTAGAAAATTAGATATGGCAACGCATACTACATATCCCAGGCTACATGTACTATATAGTACCATGCGATACATAAGGTACACGCGTCCTGAAATAACGATCCGTAGTTTACATGGCAACCGTAGTTTATATGACAACGGCTCCAATTTAGCCAAGCTTGATCATGTACCATTTTGAACTACGATATTACACGTCGCACGAAACTCAATTAGCGTAACATTATGGCGTCAAAAACCAAGACAAAACAATGAGCAGCATAGGGCGCAAACAGCCTTACAACGTCAAAAACGACAAGCGTCACATTTTTGTCAAGTTTAGTCAACCTAAAAATAAAATACTTTATCCTTATCTAATCATGACAAAATTCACAGGGTAGCAAGATCTCGAGGACAATATTTCCAAAATGTTTTTGAATTTTGAAAAACGGTCAAGAAATCCACTTGGGGCGTTGGTAAAAATTGATATGTATGGAATTTGTGGTAAAAAATCGATGCGTCACATTTTTTTCAAGTCTCGAAAACCAGCTCTTATTATAATATTATTTGCAAAATAAACAAACTGATTATTGTTTTGTAAATTTCGCCATGACAATATTGTGCAGTTATTTTTTCTTTCAAATCAGACTTAAATTAGAAGGTTAAATGAAGGTAAACTTATTGCTCGTCCCATTCGCCTTCAAAACCTTACAGAATTTTGAAAATTTTAAAAACGTTCATACACGATAATTTGAGCGGGAGCCGTTAAGCAATTGTGACGTCATAAATGAATATGTTCCATTGAATAAATTGTGAAATTTTAGTGGGATTTTGATCATTATATCAAAAGTTATCCCAATTTCAACGAGCCCTATAAGCGTAAAGTGTTACGTCTTACAGCGTATTTGACGATGTCGGGATATTTTTAACTTTAAAAAAATGTTGGATCCCATCAAAATTTTGAAAGAAAAATAATTTCACTGAAATGCGAATAAAAAATACTTTAAAATGATATATAAAACACATAGTTAGCTTTTTAAATAAGGCAGAGATTAACGCTCAAAGCTGAGATTAGCCCGTATTTCCCGAATTGTCCCCAGGTCCGTGCACGTCATATATGATACGACGTCAGATACTCTACATCACGGCGTAACATTGTAATTGTCCATTTTACCGACAAAATGCAAAGATTTACGCGATAAATATGCGCAATGCTCCTCCAAGTAATTGCAGAAGTTTTAATATTCGTGGAATCTTCTTAAAAACTTCAAGTTTTGTTCAGATTAATGTGTGCTTCAATACAATTCTATATTCAAAAAGGTTGTATCACGATATACAGAATTAGAATCACCAGAAAGTAGACATTTCAAACCCTACCCGTTTTCTTCTTTGTCGCGCTTTTCGGCCCCGCGCTCTCGTTGTCGCACCGTCTTTCTAGACACTTTCAAAGTGCCCCTTGTCATATTCAACTGATATACACAGACGGGAAGATATTAAGGATTGTTAAATGCATTATTTGTAATTGATTTTAACTCGAATATTTAGTTTTATTTATTTGAAGCAATGAATAATAAAGGAGAACATATAATACGCTAACGGCATAACGTCTTATTTTGTAAAGGCTTCACTTGGGGTTGCGGTGATAAAATGATGTCTATCTCAATATATACTGGATCAAATTAAATGAAATTAATTGTATGTAGTAAGGGGTATATTTAAAAGAACATGCTGAAACATTGAAAAGTTTTGAATGTTTATCCCTTAATTAGAAATATTTGAACTCAAAAAATGAAACGTAATTTTGTGAATTTTTCACATGGCTTCACTTCATATTTCTTTCAATTTATGCTTCTTACAGACTGAATTTCAATCGAAATGATATAGTTTTTTGATAAAAATATAGAATATGATATGCCTTTCAGGAATCAAAAAATAATAATTCACCTTTCAAACGATTTAATGTTTAATTGATCAAAATATATATCTTGTTGGTACGAAATTCTGCCTGTCCACACTTTTTTTGCATAAATATAAGCGTTAAGTTAGCATTGTTATATTATGACGTCATCAACCAGAATCTGTTTGTCTTTTTCAAAATGGTGAATTTAAATATTGTGAAAGTTTGAGAAAGATCCGTTAAGAAATGAAAAAGTTATCTTCATTTTTCGTTTAAAATTGAAATCATTTTTCTTCAAAATGTTACAGTCCACACCCGGTTTTAGCATATAAAGTCGCATAATACGGCTTGCGTGATTCGCATTTAAAAAGTCACAAATCAGTTATTTGGAATTCTGATAGGCAAAATATTTCATGGACATACGTGTTCAACTGATGACGAAAAATTGTAGAAAAATATGATTTTGCTGTCGAGATATTGCGGTTTTAAAAGTAAGAACGCATGTAAAAATGCAGTAAAATGCCGCGATGTACAGTATCTGACGTCGTATCATATACGATTGGCCCTAGTTAACAGGCAATTTTCTTTATTATTTCATGTATACTTTAGTATTAACCCGTCATCATCAACCTCTATATTCAGCTGGACTTACAGCCCTCGGACGAATTGAAAGATCTCAACAGTTTTAAACAACCTCGGGGTTGGGTCCTCACAAAGTTCAACCACAAGCGCATTATACAGAAATACGGATGCTGTGAAGATGCTTACGTCGATATTGTGTACGAATTACAAGTCTCTAGGCGATCTTCGTTCTTTACTTGTGCCCTGGTTGTACCCATTGTTTTTGCAGCTATGATATTGCCATTTTTGTTCCTCATTCCGCCACACTTTGTGTCAAGGCTTATCGTGGGTAAGTTTTATTTATTTTAGATTTTTAAGAGTCGTTTTATTGTACATTGTAGTGTTGTACAGGCTACATGTATATTTTAGGCTATACATGTACAATGTACCGGTAAGTTTCATCATTTAAAGAGTATAATTCTCATTAAAGGGTCCTAGGGCCTATTTCTGACACTAGAATATTCGAACAAAAACAGAACAACTAACTTATGAAAACCGGTGTAAAAGGGTAGGAGGTCCTATCAAATTATGGTCCTACTCTCCATTGATTTATATGGTGACCTAAATACAACTCTTTCCCTCATTATCTTATACGCAATCAGGGCCAGTAAGGGCCGTTTAGAAAGGGGACCATAATCCCTGGGGGATCATCATTTCTTTCACACCGGCCGGTGATAAACTTGCTTTAAATTTAACATGATAAAGTGATATCAATATTCCTAATATTCAAGCCCTTCTGTCAATTTAGGGTATAATTTATAAATGTACACGGAATTGTCTTGTTTTAGCAATTGGCCTGATAACATTCGAAGGAATTGGCATTATCGCAGTCCAGAATAAGTTGTCCTTTGAGCATAATGAGATTCCATTGATTGGTACGTGAATTTCATATATGTGACTTTAATCACCGCAAAATCGAAGTTTGGATCCAAGACCTCGATGTTCCTTTAAAAATGGCATCATTCGGTGAGATTTCTTATTAAAAACAAATCGTCTAAAGTCTCTGAAATGGCTGGTGCCAAGGATTATGTCAGACGAATTGATCATTAGCAGTTTGGTCATGCTGGCCTGCTAAAATTATTGACAGACAGACATGACAGACCAAGCACAATCCGGCAAAATCCAATTAAATTAGAGGAAATCCAGAACAAAAATTCAAAATATAATATTTTACATTTTAGAGTGTTTTTACAGAGAGACGGAGAATTTGAAATAGCATAAAAGGGCTCTCTCCCCCTTTAAACCCAAATCGCATCTTGCTTTAATCCAAAAAACAAAATTAAGAATTGGGCCAAGATTCATAGATTGACTTATCTCAATGCAAAAATGAACCCTAAAAGATGGGAAAAGTTCATCTATGAATTCTAGGATATTCCACCTCTTAGAAAATTGACGATCTTCATCCCCGAATAATTACATTGGTTGTCTTTCAGTGACGTTTATGAGCATCACCATAGTGCTAAGTGTCTTCAACATTGTCCTGTCTATCTTCGCTCTGTCTGTTTGGACTTATGGATTATTTGGGAAACAGCCACCGAATGTAAGTGTTTTCTGCCAGATAATAGAGAGATTTCGCACATAAGTGAAAGTACAACTTATACGTATACGTATAGTTTAAAGGGTCATGTCGAACTATTATATTTACTAAAATCAATTTTAAATTGTTCTTAATGGAACATAACTATTCCCGATATAGAAAAACTCCATCAACCAGAGACTGTCAATGCACAGTCATCTGCACGTGTAGATTATGCACATTTTAATTAATGCTTGCTTCCGTGTCTTAGTAGTTGTAGTGTATTATAAACACGATCCTTTAAAGTGAGTCATGATCCTTTAAAGTGAGTCATTACATAAACAAGTTGATTATTTCAAAGTTTTCATGATCAGTATAAGTTCAATGAACTTAAAAAATTGTATATACCCGTAGATGATAAACGTATACAGATTGATCTCCGTATAAAGCTTTACCATGTGTGTGGAACAATTGACCGCAAGCATTTTTTAAAATTAATTGGCTGAGAGTAGGAACAGTATCCAATCAAATACTTTAACCATCAATTTGAAACACCAATCAAACCAGTAGGTTCTAGCAATTTCTGGGAACGACCCATTCAGTAGCTCAACAAATGACATACAGGGCGTTTTATAACTAGCATCTCCAAAAAGTCAATTTGAGAAGAGATGGGTCTATATGTATGTACTATTATTCTAGACAAACACATTTGGATCAACTAAACATGCTACAATTCAAGAAAGTACAAATGGCATCCTTTGACCTTTATTTATTACAGTCCGAGAAGATCTTTCCTGACGAAAAGCCCACATTATGAAACACCTTGTACGTTTTCTTATAAGTATAAGTATACGTTATAAGTTGTATTTTACGTATGTGCGAAATCTCTCTAATAATTAATGGATTACACGGAGGACTGGGAAACAAGTAAGAGATAAGATGTGATGAAGGAAAAACGGAAGGAAGAAGATAGGGGAGACATGGTATGGCTGGGGATGGAATAGTTCAACAAGTTAAACCTAGTCTGGGCCTTATTTCTTATCTGACATATCTTGTGGCCCGCCCTAGGTTTAACGTCCGTGCCTATTCAGCATTTGATGCAAAATATTTAATAGTGGCCTATGGCAGCGCATGGAATTTTATGCGCGTTTAATTTATAACTGATAGTGAGAATTTGCAACAAATAAAACTATGGCACGGAAGTTAAACCCAATCATGGCAACAATAACATTCAGATTAATAAATGAAAGCCGTGGTATTGGGTTTAACTTGTTGAACTAGGGATGGAATAGTCCATATACTATACAGGGGTTTCCGTCTATAGCTTTGTAATCTCGCTAATTCTCGTTTTCGTTTGATTTATAAGGTTATGTTATTTAATCATTTTCGATGACTTTTAATATCAGAGTTTTTAAAACCGTGGTTTATTCCTATAACAACCAAAACTTTCACAAAATCTGTATGAAGAGGGTCATCAAATAGTATGTCATTCGAGTTTTAGATAAATTCAACCAACGCTTTTTGATAAATCATGGCTAGTTATCAGATCTTAATTATTGCAATTTTCGCCATTGAAGCCACTGGCAGTCTGGCCCAACCAAAATAAATAAAAACAAAAAGTGTTGATATCTATTTATTCAGCTTTATTCAGCTATCTAGCAACTCCCTAAATCATGCTTAAACTCTATATCTCCAACATGTCGCCACTTGTATTTGTTCATAATCCTGTACCAAGCAATTTCCTTAAATGCCTCATTCTTTGCAGACTGGGCGATTATCCTGGTGCATTCCATCTATTGTACCATACGCGTCTTACACATTCGAAGAAGACCACACTGTATCCATGCAAAATCTGCCGAACGCAATTCATACTGAAGGCTCTCAATCGGAATCACCTGGCACGACTGGGACAGCTGCTCAGAAGGATGCCTCTGCAATGGACAGCATGATATCTGGCTGGCGCCGAGTTGTTTTGGTCGTCGATAGGATCATGTTCTTGCTGTACTCTATCATATTTGTTGTTTTGAGTGTGGCGTTATGTGCGGACGTCTAACCTGAGTAAAAAAGACTCGTTAAAAGCATATTTCAAAGTAAATCCTGAGAGGGCCAATGGATGGTGTAACAATGACTGTGAACTCACCTTACAAGTGAACAGTATAGCAGAAAGCGATGTAATATTTACACTGTTTTATTCTTGGTGAGATCTTGGACGCTCAAAATCAATATATATGGTCATTGTTGCAAAATTGTAGAATATTGTGATATCAACTAAATATTAAGATGATTTACTCATCCTTCTCATGACACTTACCACTGTCCATGTAATGTCTATTTGGACCACTGTTTCGTTTCACTATGTGCCGGATTTTCTCAACCTCAACTGTCTCTGGAAATACCTCTAATGGGACCATTGGCTTTCTTTGGTATTTTCGTTTGCCTTTCTTTGGCTTCGACAACCTCTCAACCGTAGTACTTGGAACAAAGGCGTCACTGAAATCAGATAAGCAGAGTATTTTAAAAACTTTTACGGACGATTTTAGTTACATTACATAACATTACTTGAGTTTCTTTCTAATTAGAAAATGGCAAATCGGAGTAGCAAATCCCACCGAACAAAAACATATTTTATTAAATACCGTGTCATTTTGGACATCAAAATTAAAACTTACCCCAATTCCCTATTTTGTATTGTAAATAACATTTTCCTTAAAAGTGGCAGCCATTTTGAATGAGCAACTACGTATCTTAAAAAATTCCTTCTGGAGTAGAGTCCTTTGTCGAAAGCACCAGCTTATAAAATTTGAACCAACTTTGTTAACTGGTATTTGAGTTATCAAACATAACATTTATTATGAAAAACGACAGCCATTTGAAACCTATGGTTATATTGGAAATGCCTCAATGAGCAGATGTCTTTTGCCCATAAGATATTATCCTATGAAGATTGATCAACCTAACTCCATAATTTGGTCACTAAATTAAGAATTAAAAATTACAAATTCTATGAAAAACGGTGGTCATTTTGAAATTCAGTGGCTATCTTAAAAAATTTAAAGATTACACTTTTAATGTAAAATAATGGCCATTTTGAATTGTGAATTGAGTGGCCTCTCACCAGCCAATTTTAACTGAGCTGCCATATTTGACCAAATCTGTCAACCAGTATTTGAGTTATCTCTCGGAACGAACGGACAGACGGACGAACGGCTTCTCTATATCCCTACAAACTTCGTTCCATGAACAAAATATCATTCCCTAAATTAAATCTGCAGACATTGAGAATATTTTATTTGTAATTTCTAACCTATAAGGTAATATTACCAATCATGTGTAGTAGATAGGTGCTTTTTTGGGCCCCCAAAACCGAAAAGTGGGCCCAAATTTTGAAAATTTGAGGCCCATTTTCTTCAAAATTTGGCCTAAAATTTAAAAAATAAGCCCTAAGAAGGCCCAATAATGACCAAAAGGCCCACTTTTTGGGGCCTTAAGGCCTTTTTTGGCCTAATTTTTTTTGGGCCCAACTTTTTTTTTCTGGGCCAACCTTAGGGGGGGGGGGGGCGGGCCCCATGGGATCCCCGGATCCGCCATAGCTATAGTTACAATTCCAGGATATTCTTCGTCTTCAGTGACGAAGTTGATGTCATGGAAACACAGTCTCGGGTATTCTTGCACCTAACAAAAACACAAAACATGCTCAACGGTTAGTGGTAAACCTTAAAAATGTGACAGCCCTAGTCAACGACCTGAACAAAAATTGTTTAAAGGTCCATGTGCAGTATGGCAAGTGATTTTAGACGGTCATATCTTTCACCATGAGTACTTTCTGGGCCTAAATAGTATAGTTTTCATTAAAACAATATGTTTTCTTTCGTCCAATTAGTAATGCACGTTGAGCATTTTAGAGGCGTTCGCATGCAGAAGCACCCCTTCGGAAAGCTTCGGAACCATGATCAAAGTTGCGCTTCGATTCGCATTATCTGCAATATACAAAGCAAATAAGAATACCCTCAAAAGCGATCTAAACAATAATCAAAATCATTACTTAACGAGCCTTTAAAGAACTAGGAACGAGCCTTTAAAATTCATGAAAACAACTCATTAAACACATCATCAGGTTTATTGTAATGATTTACACTTCTATTACATATTATTGTCGTTTGAACTTATTGATTGATGAATGATATTGCCTGTAATGCTCTGGATCAACATGGTCAAGACAATCAAAGCAACTCGAATGAATCAGGTCCAATTACCCTATATATGGCAATGTACATCATTTTAAAGGCCCTGTGTAGAGTTTGAACGTTTTGGACGTAAATTGTTATCTTACGCCCAATAAACATGTACACTGGCATGATGGGGCAAAGTCATACATGCCCCATGGAATAAAATTTAATCATACTTCATCAGACTTATCAGTGTAACACTTTTACGATTGCATCATCATACAACATGACGTGGACATTTTTCTCTGGAGAGATGCGGGATGCGAGATGCCATGATACATATATATTATAACCCATATTTAGAGACAATCCCGAAAACAACGTACAACTTTCAAAGTCACAGAATATATCTGAACAATCTTTTCACGGGGCCTTTAACTGACAGTACTAAAATTCATCTTCTCTGCAATGATTAAGCAGTAGAAACAGATTCCAAAGAAAGGTAAAGGTCGGATGAATTTAGGCCAACATCAATCGTATTTTCTATAAAAGATTTAAAATAGCTTGGTTCCGGTTGAAAAGGCCTAGCGGGATATTGCAGCGCACGACTACACATTTGTAATAATTAAGCAGTCTGGATTACAGATGGTAATGACCAAGGCCGTGTCGCCCAGATTGTTCTTAATAAGTTTATTAATATTAGTTACTATTCTACATGATGTTTCGTCAATAAGGAGAAAAATACTGAGGGAGAAATCCATGCGAAAGGCCGGACGAAAGACCCAGCGGCAAAACAAGAAATCTGACGGTCTTACGAATGATATATTTCGGGATCAGCGACGATATGTTAAACAAGATGCGGAGATCGTTCTTCAGAAATTGAAGGCTTCGTGTAAAGCAGAGTGTTATACCTTATTTGATGAAAACAAAATTGAAGAACGAATTGGTAGTCTTAAAGGGAAAGAGAAAAAACAGGCAAAGGATGCAGACTGTCCGTATTTGATTCCAACTGATGACATGCTTGATAAGTTAAATAAGGTATATTGTCGTTTTTATCAGTTTTATTGGACAATTGATTAAGTATTAATTTGTTTAAATACAAGTAGGATGGAGTTTTATTTGTATAAATAAACAGAGAATGATTAATGACCTCATGTCTTTATCCTCATTTTTGGATTTCTATTTCTAAATTATTTTTAAAGATGGATAACAACTTTGATATTGACTTAATTATCCTGCTCGTTCCTAATACAGGCGGGTTTTCTCCCGTTCGTTTTGGAACCGGGCCCATTCCACCGTTTTATCTAAATTGAGTCACAAGCGTCATTTTGGTATAAAAAGCAATGGTGGGGGCGTTTCGTTTTCGGGATATGATGGTCCAAACTTGACGAGTCGATTAAAATTACGTTTTGCGCCATAATTCAATTTGAATTTGCCAACATTTAATAAACATATCTTTCTAGCTATTATGTAATTTTATTTTCCGTGTTGGAAGAGCTGTTCAAATTAGAGGTACGAATCTATTTTCCGAAGGTCAATATCGATGTATGGGATAGAGAAGAACACATTGAATAAATATGTAATTTTACTTCTGGGATATGATATCATTTCTATTTGAAACAAGTGCGTGATAGAGGGGTTGCCATTTTAGTAAAGGGTGTAAATACGTTTTGTGCTTGATACAGGGTATATTTAATGGAAAAGGTTAAATTATGATGTTGAATTATTGGTGTCTATCATATATTTAAGAACTGCCATCTACCCAATATCATATACTTTGGATAAGATTTACAATCTCTAGATCTTAGTCAATGGCATGTTGCACCTCAGCCTTTGATTGGCGATATTCGCGACTATTAATTTTCGTGATTTTTACACAATCGCGAAAAGCACGAAACTAAATTGCACGCGAAAAATATCGGGAGTACAGTACATTGAAACCATACACTCATATATTTCATAAGAATTTGCAATCAAGCCTAACAAATCTATTGGCAAAATATTAGAAGGCCAGCAAATGTACACATGCTAAAGTGATGAAACTTTAATGAATTTAAATTTGAAAATATTACCCGACTAGTGCCAAATGTTGAAAATACCTACCTAGCAGCCACTAGACATCAAGTTTGCATTTCATTGCTTAATACAGATTGAAAACATCGAGGATGAAGAAAAATAAAACATAAATCTAGCATCATGTTTCTGTCTCGTTATGTTTTATTTATATGTCAAATTGTGTGTTTATAATGATGAATTCTCGAGATGCATTTCTTATTTAGATATCGCATGACAATTGTTGTACCAATATGATTTATAAGATAAAAACATGCACATGAATAAAGTGTAGATCAAAGTAATCGTTCCGCTATGCCTATAACGATTATTGAAATAATAGGCCTACTCGCATATATGATGCTTGGATGATTTCATATGGCTTAAAAGACAAGTTGACTGGTTGGTATAGAGAAGTTGACATTCCAAGGCACCAGGCGGTCAATAAATTCAGAATGTTGACTCAGTACTGAAGTAATATTAAAATGATTTGAAATATCTGATCTCGTTTATTTATGATGTTTTTGCATACAGTGAATTCAGAATGAGCCCAAAACAAATAAACGTTCATATTTTGTATTCAACTATTAGTATTATGCTGTTACTCATCATGATTGCTGAAAATGTTGACTTATCAACAATGGCAATTTGTTCTTATTGTAATGATCTGATAGATCGGTAAATATTGATTGGTTATTGGTTATTGATGTGAGTCTATAGAATATAATAATGACAAGCACAAGATGTAGTGTGTTCACTCATGGTGTATATTCGTATAACTGATGAACCAGGATGTCTCCTGGTAAGATGATACATATGGGTACATGTGGTCAGTGGTCAGTTAGTACAACATATGGTATTATATAAATGAGGTCATTACATCCCTCCTTTTGTTTAGATTAGAAAATACATATACAGGTTTTGAACTTATGATATAGAGATAATATAAGTTATGATATAGCAGTAATGTAAACAGTATTGTACATAAAGATTATGGTAATTCACTTTGCTGATTTGCACTATAACAATATATAGTTTCTGGTAGATCAGCTGATGTGATAATAATCTCAAGAGTTCATGAGTTATGATAATGAGGGTTACTCTGTGGTCAAGTGTCTGTTTATAAACATTCCATAGTAAAAGTCAATGTTTGTAAACATTCCATAGTATTTCAGATTTCATTCATGGAACTGGGTCAAACTAAAGTTCATTGTGTATCAGCTTCAGAGTCTATGAGGGGGTACACCGCGGTTGTGCCTTACGGGATATCTTTGGTGTTGTTCAGGTATTTCATCCTCCTCATTTCTTAATGGGATATTGGGGTGGTATTCCTGATTACGCTGAGGCTGGGGTGGTTGGCGAGATGCTGGTATTGGGTCAGGGTTTTGTAGTAGGGGTTTGAAGAATGATGAATTCCTTGTTCGTGTGATGTCATCATTCTTGGCGGTGATAGTGCTTCCTCTGACTTTGGTAACTGTCATAGGTTTGGGGATATATTTTGGTATAAGTTTGCCTTTCTTGGTGTCCTTGCAAAGTACCTTGTCGCCAACTTTGATGGTATGTTGTTTTATCGACCTGTGATTCTCGGCATTTGTTTTCATTGCAGCCTTTCGTTTTTGGTCTGCAGTGCGGAGAGGGTGGTCAATCTCTGGGTTTGGGGTAGGTCCAAGATCAGGGATGCCTATGTACATTTTGCGATTGAACATAGCTTCATAGGGGGATATTCCAGTGGTAGAGTGGGGTGTTGCATTGTGGTTACGTAGCCATCTAAATAGTTGCTGTTTCCAGTTTTGGCCTTCTACGATTGCTGCCTGGGCTACTTTGTTGATGTTTTTCATGGTTGACTCAACGCTGCCATTACTTTCTGGCCAGAGTGGTGTGACTCTGTGGTGGTTGATTCCATTGTGAGTCATAAATTTGGCGAATTCATGACTATCGAAGGGTGGGCCATTGTCGCTTTTCAGATTGCGGGGTGTTCCAAAAGAGCTGAACATTCTGTCCATTTTGGGTATAACTGCTCTTGATGATGTGCTTGTGGTTATAGCAATGTCCAAATATCTTGAGTAGTCATCTTTTACAACTAGGACATACTCATTGGATGGGTAGGGTCCAGAGAAGTCAACTGATAAGTTTGTCCATGGGGCAGGTGGTAGCTCGCTCATCTTGATGGGGTCACGGGGAGGGTTTGTTGTGGTTGCCTGGCAGGGAATACACGTTTTAACTTTGTGTTCTACCTGTTCATTAAGGTACGCGAACCAAAATTTGGTACGCAACAACGATTTTGTCTTTGTAGCTCCTTGATGACCTGCGTGTGCTAATTCAATAGCCTTGGATTGAAGATTCTCTGGTAGGACAAGGAGGTTTCCTCTTATGATGATGTCGTCCTGTGTAACAGATAGTTCGTCTCTCACCTTGGCATATATTGCCATGTGACGTAAGTTCACAGCTTGATCAGGTGGTTGTTGTGAGATATGCCACTGGTTAGACGTGATTATCTGACGCAGCCACTTAAGGGTAGGGTCAGTGGCACTGGCTGATTTGACCTCAGCTAAGGTCATGGCCTTGGGTATATCATACTCAGAGACTAGGTTCAGATAGCTCTCTGCGATTTGTGATAATTGCTCATCACCAGATGTGGGTAGGGGGTGTCTGGATAGGTAATCAGCAGGGTTGTTGTTTCCAGGTTTGTATACAACAGTAAACGTATAGTCCTGTAGTCTCAGCATCCATCTTTGTATGCGTGGAGGGGGGTTAGCTCCAGGGTTACTGAACATGGGGACTAATGGCTTGTGGTCTGTGGTTATGGTGAACGGCTTTCCAAGCAGATATAGACGGTTAGATTCTATACCCCAGCATGCACCAAGGGCCTCACGCTCGGTCTGTGAGTATCTGGCTTCAACGGGGGTCAGGGATCTGCTTCCGTAGTGCATGATTTTACCATTTTGAGATAATATGGCTGATAGTCCAACTGGGGATGCATCAACATGCACTATGGTATCCAACTGGGGGTCAAAGTAAGCCATACAGGTTTCAGATTTGAGGGCGGCTTTGGTTGCATCAAAAGCCTGTTGGTGGGTGGGGGTCCATGTCCATTTGACATGCTTCAGGGTGAGGTCACGAAGGGGTTTGGTTATGGTTGCTAGATCCTTCATGAATCGTGCGCAGTAGTTGATCATTCCAAGATATGATCTAACTTCGCCAGCATTGGTAGGTTGGGCCATGTTTAGGATAGAGGCCACTTTTACGGGGTCGGGTTTGACGCCATCTTTGGTGAAAAGGTGTCCAAAGAATGATATTTCACTTTTGCTGAACTCACATTTTTGGGAGTTTATTGTGAGATTGTTCTCATCCAAGCGTTGTAGTACAGCCTTCAGTGCACGATTGTGGTCATCAGTGGTTTTTCCGAATATGAATATGTCGTCACTGATGTTGATTTGATTAGGTATGCCTTGTAGGACTTGACGCACTAAATCCTGGAAAACCTCACTGGCGCTACATATTCCAAAGTTCAGCCTTTTATAGCGGTATAGGCCACAGTGCGTCTGGAATGTGGTAATGTACCGTGACTCAGGATTTAGCTCTATTTGGTGATATCCTTTGTTGAGGTCAATTTTGGAGAACGTGGTCGCGCCATTGACCTGGCGTATGATGTCATCCATGGTGGGTGTGAAATGACGTGTTCTCATGATGGCAGTATTCGCGGACCTCATATCAGTACAGATTCTGATTTGATCCGACTGTTTCTTGTTAACGATAACGATAGGTGATACCCATGGGGTGGGGCCGTCAACTGGTTCGATGATATCATGTGATAGGAGACTTTCGATTTCAGCCTCTACTTTTCCACGAAGATGAAAGGGAGTTCGGTTGTGTGTTTGGGCAACAGGGGGTACGGTTTTATCAATGTGTAGTTTCACTTGTTTGTCCTTTAGTTTCCCTATTCCCGTTAAGATGGAGCTGTGGTTGTTTAAGATATCCTGAATAACTGGGGGTGTCCCAGCATGGTTGAGGTTGTAGGTTATGTTGATGAGCTCCAGCTGTCTTGCAGCTTCATAGGATAGGATGGGTGTTATAGAGGGGTCGTCTATAACATGGATGGTGGTAGTAATAGTTATGCTTCCATAGCTAAGGGAGGTCTTGAAGCTTCCCATAAAACTCAGGGGTTCCTTTCCTGCAAAGGCATACACAGGGGATCTGATTGGTGCCAGTTGTGGTTCTGGGTGTAGATTCTGCAGTGTCTGGTTATTGATCACATTAACAGAGGATCCTGTATCCAGCAGGAAATTGATATCCAGGTTATCCAATTTCAGGGTGATATGTGGGCATCTGGGTGAGGATTTGAGAGGAAATGCGTAGTCTGCAGACGGGTTAATGGGTGCTTCGTCTGGATTGGCCATGTGCTCAGTGACCTGTCTGACCTTCTGGCTTTGGCTAGGGGCTGGTTTCTGCCCTGATCTACACATCTTCGAAAAATGGTTCATCCTCCCGCATTGCCCGCAGTGCTTTCCTTTTGCTGGGCATGTAGATGTGTGGGGGTACGGTCCCCCGCATAGTCCACAGGTAGATGATTTCTGGTTGTTTGAGGTGGTTGAGGTTACATTGTTATTCCTTTGGCGATATGCCTGCTTGTGTAGGGCATTAACGTCCTCTTTTGTGGTTTTTGTTATGCCCTCTGCTTGAGCGGATGATTGAATTTGATACCTGGCATAGTCCAGTAATTTCTTGAGGTCCCAATTGTTTGACGGATTTAGTGCCTTTTTTCGCAAGGTGTCATCAGTGGTGCCGACGATGATTTGCCGTTTCACCTCGATATCCTCCTGGTCGTTGAAGTCGCAGTTTACGCTTTGTGATCTCAGGCGTGTGTAAAACTGCATGATGGTTTCAGATTCCTCTTGTTTGAGCATCCTGAATGATATAATTTCAAAGTCAATATTCTTCCTTGGTTCGAAATACTCCAAGAGGTTCTGTTTTGCTGATTCGAAGTCATCATCCGATCCAGTGTTTCCCAATGTTTCGAATAGATCATGGAGTTGAGGACCTCCAAAATGCAATAGCATTGCCCTTTGCCTTTTTGCATTGGTAATGTTTTCAGCGACTAGAAACGTCTCGAATCGCCGAATCCATTTCTTCCAAGCGGTGGATGCGTTGGTTTGATGGATGTCAAATGGTGGGAACGTGATGCCGTTACTCCTCGTCGCCATTGTAATGATCTGATAGATCGGTAAATATTGATTGGTTATTGGTTATTGATGTGAGTCTATAGAATATAATAATGACAAGCACAAGATGTAGTGTGTTCACTCATGGTGTATATTCGTATAACTGATGAACCAGGATGTCTCCTGGTAAGATGATACATATGGGTACATGTGGTCAGTGGTCAGTTAGTACAACATATGGTATTATATAAATGAGGTCATTACACTTATGTATTCTGTTGTATTGATTATTAGAAATGAATTTGATTTCTGTATAAAAAACTCTTAATGAATTTCAATTTTGAGGATGCTGCAAGTTATAATGCAATCAGTCAATTCGGTAGTATTTGTTAATAGGGGTGTGAATGGGTGTCAAATGTTTTGCTGAATTATTAGCGGTTTCAAACTCTTAAACTCTCAAAAACGTTTTGTAATCTTTCGGATTAAACTTCACTTTAAGAAAAAACATGGTCGTTGTATAATTTGTGTTTTCAAATTAAACCCCACACCAGTGCTTTCGGATATAAGGCCTCAACTTGAAAAAGAATATGGTTGATGTATTGATGTATCGATTGTGTTTTAAGAGAAGAACTCACATCCAAACAGAATATGCTCTATGTATCAATTGTGTTTTTGAAGATAAGAACTCACCTCGAAACAGAATATGGTCTATGTATCAATTGTGTATTAGGATAATTTGTTTTCAGTTAAGGTCTCATCTTGAAAAATAATTTGGTTGATGTATCAATTGTGTTTTCAGAAAAGAACTCACCTCGAAACAGAATATGGTCTATGTATCAATTGTGTATTAGGATAATTTGTTTTCAGTTAAGGTCTCATCTTGAAAAATAATTTGGTTGATGTATCAATTGTGTTTTCAGAAAAGAACTCACCTCGAAACAGAATATGGTCTATGTATCAATTGTGTATTAGGATAATTTGTTTTCAGTTAAGGTCTCATCTTGAAAAATAATTTGGTTGATGTATCAATTGTGTTTTCAGAAAAGAACTCACTTCGAGACAAAATATGGTCTATGTGTAAATTGTGTTTTAAGATAAGAACTCACCTTTAAACAGAATATGCTCTATGTATCAATTGTGTTTTAAGATAAGAACTCACCTCGAAACAGAATATGGTCTATGTATCAATTTTGCTTTAGGATAATTTGTTTTCAGTTAAGGTCTCAACTTGAAAAATAATTTGGTTGATGTATCAATTGTGTTTTCAGAAAAGAACTCACCTCGAAACAGAATATGGTCTATTTATCAATTGTGTTTTCAGATAAGGCCTCAACTTGAAAAAGAATATGGGACGTTCAACGATTTTAGTGTTTTAGTCGCCAGAGTTCACCATGATAAAGCTGCTCGAATAAATGAATACTTCTACAAGGTAACCGTTTTATTATTAAACTCATGGGCGTAGCCAGGGGGATGCGATGGGTGCGATAGCCCACATAAAAAGAAAAATCAATATTGCAAAGTTGTTGTAAAAGCATTAGCGAATTATCGTTCGAAATGCTTAGAATATACCATATACAAAATGTAAAGGATTGGTATCGATATGGCGAATTGAATTCAACATTGTTTTTCTCTCAAACCAATTATTGAAAACATTCTTTAAAAACACTCGCCTTTATGTAATGGTCACTGATTGACAACAATTTAAATCAAAAATTATTTATACACATTTTATATTATTGTTTTTGTGAACAGTTTTTGTTTTTACTTATAATTGTTTTTTGTTCCTTTCTATCAATTCTTGAGAATGAAATAAAAGATCTTTCCGAACCTGCTTGTTGGAACAAAATATCCAATAGAACATTTTCTTAGTGTTATAGTTATACAATGTTATACAAAGGATAGTTTGGTTCATTTAAGAAAAAGTATTAAAAACCAAAATAGATAAAATTTAAAGTAAAACTTTTATTTCATTTAAAAGATACTTTTTTAAATGTACAATTACAATATTGAAAGACCTAAACACGTTGTGTATATGTCATTTTGTTCCAATCAGGTTCGGATGGATGTTCCATTTCATTCCGAAAATGTGATCCCTTATGTGTTTTCCAAAACAACATAGAGAAATGTATAAAAAATTCAAATTAAATTTCACCATTCAATAGATGATCATTAAATTGACGATGTATAAAATTTTCAGAATTCTTTGATGATTGGTTTAAGAGAAACATTTGTTCAATTCAGTTCGCCATATCGATACCAATATCTTTGAAAAATTTCCGGGGGTGAGCCCCCTTATCTCCCATTTCGGGTCTCGCTTCGCTCGCAGAGATGCAAACCCAAAAGATCCCACCCCCTTTGACAACTGCTTGCTACACTCATGAAACTGGAGCTGAAAAAACTCTCATAAAAATAAGCACCACTGTAGAATGATGCAAAACCTTTTTTTTAAATGTCAAAACTTGAAACAACAATTATTGCAGTACAAGTACAAGTACAAGTAATTAGCATGAGTCCCAATATCTTTGAGTGAAGTGAGTGCGCCATAAATGCTATGATAAACTATCTCTCTTATTCAGCCCAAATGTTTCATTTTTTATGAATATTTTCAGGTAAAGACATCAAAAGGAAGGTCGGGATTTGTTCACATCAATGTTGTCATAGCAACTGGAAAAAATGACGGGGAAATGGATTTTTTGATGGAAAAGAAAAAGGATAAGGATGACTGTTTGACGGTTATCAAAAATCCGTTCGTGAAAGAGACATCAGAATAGAGGAATTCTTCCAAATATAATTTACACCGAAATAATCACTAGTGACAAGATGGCACGTGATCCATAATTTGAATGATTGTCCAACGATTATACAAGTTGTTACACACAAGAAATGCGACCCTTTGATCCCGGAATAACTTTTCAATTATGATGGAATTTTACACTCTCGAAGCTGAATACGCCAAATAACGTTTGTTTTAACACTTATTGGTAACAGATAATTAACACGTTTTAGTGTTCATGAGTATTAAATATTAATTAACACATTTTTATGTTAACCAAATCGTTTATCGATATCGACATTTCAGTGTTTGTTTTAACACATTTCTGTGTTTGTTTTAACACATTTCTGTGTTTGTTTATATCATATTGGATTTAAATCATACATTATAACGTGTTATTGTGTTTTTATTTTTAATAAAACGTATTTTGAGACTTGCAACAGATAATTGATACGAAAACGTTTCTTCTTCCAATAAAGACGCAAAAAATATATTGCCTGACAATTATTCAAGAACTTCAATGTTCACAATATTTTCTCTGATCAATGCCGATTTCAGATACAAATTCCCCGACAAATTCCTGATGATCAAGATCGGATATTTCTGATATCTTTTCAAAAGTTTAAAGTGTTATTATAAGTCTCCATTTTATTCATCAGTTGAATCTAATAAATCATTCACTTCAACCCTTGATAACACAACTCCCAGATCACCATTTACATTTGTGAGACTGTTTTCTTTGAAAGATTGATTGAATCTGCTGACATGTTGTTTTACAGTAGATGGCGCTGCAGAGCTTAAAGAGTAGTTTATGTTTTAGAAATAGGACTGCTGATTGCAGAGTTACAATTTATGCTCCTTTGAAAAGATTTTAAAAACTTTGTTTGAAAATCATACCATTGACAGAAATTACCACATTGACGATATAGCTTTGGCTTTTTAAGAAGAGCACTCCCCAGTCAGTGCATTGTGAAAAACTAAAAGAACTGTAAAATAATGTGTGTGCAAAATTAACAAACTGAAATGCTCTAAGCTGATTGGTTGAATTGGTGGAATAGCACTCCTCAGTCAGTGCATTATAAAAGAACAGTAAAATAATGTGTGTGCAAAATTAACAAACTGAAATGCTCTAAGCTGATTGGTTGAATTGGTGGAATAGCACTCCTCAGTCAGTGCATTATAAAAGAACAGTAAAATCATGTGTGTGCAAAATTAACGCACTGAAATGCTCTAAGCTGATTGGTTGAATTGGTGGAATAGCACTCATCAGTCAGTGCATTGTAAAATCATGTGTGTGCAAAATTAACGCACTGAAATGCTCTAAGCTTGGTATGTTTGAATTTGACAGAACCTCAATGACAAAAGCACTCAATTTGTTTCCACACTGTTAAATGTATACCACTTCCGGTGGTGATAAAAACTATTTCTGGAAAAAAAACGAAATCGGGTCTGAGATGAGACCGGTGAGAAATAGTAAACATTACGCATGAAAGAAAATAAGTTCACGACATAAAATACCCATTTGTATGAAACATGCTATTTGTAGTAGTTATTTAGGTTATTTATTTACTTTAGTTTTATACACAATATATGTTATTTTACGCGCTGCATGTGTATGTTTTGTCCAATAAAGACAAGACATTGTTGACCGCCAACTGAAAACTTTGTTGCGTCAGGAAACCCTGTTGGACGCCAGGAATAAGGAAATCTGGGGACGAAGGTAGAAATTTAAATTCATTGCTGCCGTCTTTATCTCGGTTATTCCAGAGTTTTATTAACAAAATATCGACACCTTTTTCCTTTAGAGCTGCTGCTCTGTCGATCGTACGTATGCTTAACCTGCCTGGTGACGTCATACCATCGTAAAAGATAATAGCCAAATCGGGATATTCATTATCGGGCCGATCACCAAGCTCTACATTATCCACGAAGTAAAAGTTGTCCATTTGCTCAAACACTTTAGGGGTATTCGTTTTACACACTTTCTTGCTCATATCTAAATTATCAAGGGCTTGAAGTATTATTTCTGCTCCATTGTTGTCTCCGAAATGTGCGGGGTAAAATGCAGGATATACGTCTTCGTCAAATGTAAATGCGCTAATATGGGTAGTTCCCGATTTCACCTGCCGCACTATCTCCTTCGCCAACTGTAATAGAAATCAACATAAAGAAGCACGTTGGTTATCGCAAACAATTTCAAACGATTCTAACTTGAATTATGAATATTTTTTGATCATGAACATGGGTGTATCTTTTAGATCCATTTGTTATCTTCAAGAAAAGTATATATAATGATAATTTAGTTAATCAGACCTAAGTGATATTGAAGGGGCAATGGACCAATCAACATACTTTTTCAAAAATGTTGACCTAATTTTCACCAAAAATGCAACCTATTATTATATTGTTGAATGCATAATTAGAATGTGCTTTGAGACATGTTCGATTTCCTAAAAGGAAAATTTGATTGCTCCAGGGACTTTAAAGATATTCAATTTGGATGACCAAAATGAACTGAAACCAATGGATAGCATGAGATTTTTCAATGGAGAAATAACATGGGGAACACTTATCTTAATGCAATTAAGTTTTTCTTTCAAGAACTATTTGATACATCAAAATAAAGAATAGTAATGCATTAAACATTGTAAAAAATGATTGCATTTTTGGTGAAAATGGGGTCAACATCTTCAAAATGGGGTCAAAAAGTGTGTTGTTGGGTTAATTGCTAGTTAAATATCTCCGAGTTGGTTTGAATTTATTATTACTGTGCATAATTTTCTTTGAGATAATGAATTGATCTAAAAGATAAACTTGCCTTCATTGTCAGAAAATACTCATAATCCAAGATATAACCTTCTGAAATTGTTTGCGATAACCCACGTGCTCCTTTGTTGTAATTTTAGCGATTAGAAACCATGGCGTTTGTGTCCCGAATTCTTGGCTCGGGTTGAAATAGACGTGGGTTTCGAAGCAAGCAATGAACTTAAGTACAGAAACGCCATATCATAGCTCAGGGGAAACAAAACGGGAGATTTTTGATAAAACGATCCAGTCGTTGAAGTCACAAATCGCTTTTTACTTTGCCAGGGGCTATGTCTGTATGTCGTACATGCAACGAATGCACCCTGGAATAGCCTGACTACGGTAAAGACAGATACCGTTGTCACAAATGGCGGACATAACCGTCGCTTCAATTATATTTTCATGAACTGTATGGTTAATAAAGCACCTAGACTAAACTCCTTTGAAACAACAATCAAGCAAAGTGTCTTATACTCATTGTACATTTAATAATGTTCTACCATCGAAATAAAGTCTTTCATTTAACCGATCAAAATGAGATACGGGACAACGGACACTGTAATTACCAGGGGTCGTTGTCTTTCTAAATTACTCAAATTCAGATTCCGTTGTCATTGAGGATATCGAAGTCGTTATATTGTGGCGATTCACGACCAAATTTGATCGAAAATAGGATTTCATATGATACATTATCACAAGAGCTTAATGCATGCACAGAATTAGCGACGATAAAATCCCATGAAATGAGGACCAAGTGATTAAACAGTTGAAGCGACGGTTATGTCCGCCATTTGTGACAACGGTATCTGACTTTACCGTAGTCAGGCTATTCCGGTGTGAGATGGGTGTATACAGGGTGTCCCGAAAGTATGGGGCCCCCCCCTAGGCAGACATATTCCAGTGCCCTCATAGTATGTGTCATATATCATTTTAAAGCTTATCCAAAGTTACATTGATTCGCCAAGTATCATGGTTTAACTCCCGAATGGGAAAAAGTTACAGTCATTTTAAAAGTTAGTGTTTTGTCAAAATAAAGTTCAATTTTACACCACATTACTAGTCAATGTGTCACCCCCTTGGCCATGTTAACAGCAGCAATTATTTTCAGATATGACCTTAAACGCCCTTCAAATAGGGGTGTGGGATTTTATAACCCTCTTAAAACCTGTTAAGGGACTTTAGAAGAGTTTCCTTAGAGTTTCTACCCTCACCGTTCTCTTTTTCCAACTCAATATCCCTCCGACCCGAAATGAATTGCTGCTGTTAAGATGGCCCAGGAGGACACATTGACCAGTGATTTGGTGTAAAATTGAACTTAATTTTGACCAAACACTAAATTTTCAAATGCCTGTAATTTTTTCACATTTGAGAGTTGAACCATGATACTTGGCGAATCAATGTAACTTTGGTTAAGCTTTCAAATGATATATAACACATACTATGACGACACTGGTATATGTCTGCCTAGGGGGGGGGGCCCATACTTTCGGGACACCCTGTATATTTCGTTGCATAGTGTATACACAACACATATTACATGTAACAGTGAAACGCAGGCTGTCTTTGTAAAAATAATGATTAATCCTTTGGCCACCCAGAGGAATACGAATACGTATAGCCTTTTTATTTTTGAGTGAAGCCACTCAGTAAAATTACGATTTCTCTGTAACCTGATATCAAATCAAGATCATGTGTTCCTGACACGTTTGGGCGTACGAGAATAACAACGTTTACCCAAAGTTTGGACGCAAAATTGACGTAATTCATGACTGAAATCGGGAAGACAAAATTTGAGATTCACAAACTAAATTGCTTGTGAAAACTATTTACAAAATTGTTCCAGAGGCTCTAATCTACTTGGCTAAGGTTTTATTTGAAGATACATTCCCTTATTAAGCAGGTAGATGGTCATACAGAACATGGAAGCAACGGCTTTGTTGAAAATTTTCTATATTTCAGTTTGAACATGTTATTAGATGTCACGTAAGCCAGTTTTTATATGGGGATTATATGTACTTTACTTGTCTACATGAACGTAAATCATTACATAAAATCTGCAGTCTTCCGGGTTTTATCTGGGTTTGTAATGTCTTATTGGGGCTTTTCGACATTAAAAAAACCTTACCTAAATGGACTTGTGTCTCGGGAACATTTTTGTAATTGTAAATAGTTATTATAAACAATTTTGAAAGAATATCATTTTTTGTCTTCCCGATTTCAGTTATGAATTACGTCAATTTGACGTGAAAACATTGGGTAGAAGTTGCCATTACCGTGTGCCCAAACGTGTCAGGAACACATAGATACTCGAATGATGTTGATTGGACATCAGGGTGCAGAGAAATCGTAATTTTACTGAGTGGCTTTACGAAAAAATAAGCAGGATTATAGGCCACCTTAATTAACGCTACTTATTTAAATTAACTTACATAATCTATAATTTGAAATGAGTCTAATGGTTTATGATTACCACTTTAAAACTCATCTGAGCATCATATATTGTACAAGGGGGTCAAAAAACGGAAACCCAGCATTTTCCTAATATCTATGTCATTTTAAAAAATTACTCAAATGTGTAACATATCAGGGAGTTATTTCCTAAATGGCAAAGATATAAGGAAAATGGTGTAAGAGCTACCTTTTTGACCACCCTGTACAGTGTGTAAATAATAAATTGTCAAGGAATGAGATATAATATGGTTTCAACCAGCTTTGTGACGTAACGTATAAACTAAATGTTTTACCAAGGAGGATTGGCTCCCAGAATGCAACACCGATATTCTGCAAAACAATCACCTAGCGATAGCTTTGTTGGAGAGTATCGGGTCATTCTCCATGCAGTCGTACAATTATACAGACACGAATAGCAAATGACGCATGCGTGGAGATTAAAGAATATCGAGTTGGAACCCTGGCTTCCAATCCTCCTTGATGTTTTACATAATAGAAAATATAGGCTACCTCTCTTGCTAATTCTTTGTCTCCATCCCGTATACTGCAACTGGTGTCAAACCCAAATACGATATCAACACAAACTAGAAAATATTTTCAAATTATGTTTCACAATTATAAAGCGGATTCTAATACCTCCACGGCTCTATTTTTTGTGTTGATCCTAAACATTTCTTTGTGGATTAGTCGCGTATGAAAGATATTATATGATTTCTCTGTTCCATCTCTTTATCTCTTAAACTTTATATTTTATTACACTGCACGAAAAATATGGCAAGCTCGACTCTGTCATTGGATCACCATGTGTTAACATATAAAGCATGTTTCTATTTGGCGATAATATTATCAAAGATATCATTTTCATTTTTTTTATATCCAAGTTCATGTACAAACATGCTTATTCAATGTGATTTTGAAACTTTTGGAGTGAGGTGTAGAGTAAGGAAAATAAAGTAATTATAAGATTGGAAAAACAACAATACGGCTGTTGTGAGTGTATAAAATACTTACTATTCCCTGGGTCGTTCGCTATTGGATCTGGAAGCGTCGGTTTGCACCTAAAATCCTGACTGATCAATTGCGACAGAGTATTCAAACTCTCTCCGCTGTTCATTGATAAAAGATTGCGGCCGGGAATAATATTCGGAGATGGGATGCCTAAGAGTTCATCCATTCGAGCTACATTGCCGTATTGGTTTTGGAGTAAAACCATATAGACCAACAGATTGGGTACACTGTGTAATAATTGGATTGAGTCCTCAACCTTGAAAAAAATATAGAGTTTATTGTACTAGTATTTGGTTGGTAAGATGGTGAAGAGGCAAGGCACAGGCTTTCGCCTCAGAACTAGGTTCGATCCCAGTTCCAAGCGTTTCTTGCGGGCGATTAAGCTAGAATTAATGCACTGCGCAGAGTTGACTGTAACTGTTTATGACCCTTTACTTACCAGGATGAAGATGATAGTTCTTTTACATGGAGGATTGGCTCCAAAACTGCAACATCGATAGTTTTGCCATAAATATTGGCATGTCGTGATTACAAAATTCGAATTGGCAAACAAGCGCCATGTTGTTCACTTCAACATTTGAATCGCGAAATAACAACAATTCCAAAACTCACAAAAAGTTATTGAGATATTGGTTTGAATGATTCTGACTTTTTTTCTTTGAATTTATATTCGGTTATAATTTCAGAAAAATAACGACATTTTGTCGTTTTCATTCCTGGAAAATATCGAGTTTCGATCCAGGGAGCCAATCCTCCTTGGTTTTTCAAAATTAACCAGGCATCTCAGCTGCCATCTTTATTTTGACTAGTAGTTTCATCAACGATTTCACATCAAATATTAACAGTGAAAAATTGATAATAGTTTTTGACACGGGGTATACCGTATATCCTCGGAAAATATGATATACGGGGTGGTCCAAAAAGGTGAACCCCTGCAATAGGCTATATTTTTCTAAATACATGCATGAATTGGCTCATATTATCACATGTTGTGGAGAAAGGTCTAACATTTTGGTTGATGCCATAATTTATTCTCAGTCTTAAATTTTGAAGAAATTACAAGAGTTTAACAAACATGTCTGAAAATTAGATATTGTACAAAATTTTACAAATGTGATTCACGGAAATTGTTGAAACACATTGGATGATTTCAAGAGATACAAGTTTAAAACCCTACCATATGACAAAAGGGACACTATTCAAGCAGAAAACACATTTCACACTTTCATTCATCACTTTGAAGCAGTTTTAACTGTTCAACAGTTCACGGGTATGTTACCTACACTAACAGTTAGAGGGGGGGGCTCTTATGGAAGGAAGTTGCCTCCTGTGACCAGGAATCTGATAACCCCTTCATCAAATATCTTTAAAAAATCAAAAGAAAATCCAATATTCAATGTTTTGAGCCATATTTCACTAGAACTGGTCCATGATTTATGAAGATATTGACATTTCAAGATCATATCGGGGTATGTTCGCGATTTCACAGGAAAATGTTTTCGTCTGTGGAAGCTAAGCACATTTCTTTGGATCACAATAACTTTGCAACTTACAAAGGTAGGATGCTAGTTTTAAGCCATGATGTGCAAGATTTAAAATTGAACAAAGTCAGAAAATATTAGTTCTTCAAGACTGCAGCTTAAAAAATTCTCAGGTGAAAGGTTTTGAAGGGTTGAAGAATCACGGATATTGAAAATCATTTTCCAGTAATATTTGGTTAGGGCTTACAATTTCTGCAATTTCAAGACTAGGAAAAATGTATGGTACCAACATAAATTTTAGACCTTCCTCTACAACATGTGAAAATAAAAAATAATTCCTGCAAGTAATAAGGGAAATATGGCCCGTTGCAGGGGTTCACTTTTTGGACCACCCTGTATATACGAGGGCCGATCCAGAAGTTCTGATTAAAATGCTCTCACTCACAAAATTAGCATTTTCCACAATACTTTTAGACTATTTAGGTCATTTAATCCCTCATAAGTTATAAAAAATAGATGCTGGTAATGAACATTTCTGAAGTTATGGTTGATATGGTAACCTCAATTACGTAAAAGCGGGACAGGGTAATATTTGTTAAGTTTAAAATTGTTTTACTTTTGATTAAATGATCAAAACCCCATTAAGAGGTTCCATTATTCTACAAATGGCTGTTTTAACATTAACTGCTGTTTGTGTCCTATTCTCATAAGAGTGAAATCGTTTTAAATTCTGTTTGATATCGAAAACATGAACACTTTATAATACATTAGACAAGACATGAGACACTAAGCTTTTAGTTCATCTACGTAAAACAATGCAAAGTGACCAAATAGAGCCAAAGATTCAAACATGTTTGACTAGGACAACATATATATTTCACAAATCTTGCATGGTCTACATGAATATTATCAGAAACAAGTTAAATATGTAGGTACATGGGCTTTTCAATATACGTACTTCCCAGATAATGCCCCTCTGGACTTTGTTGTGTTTTGACTTTTGACTGGCCCTAAATAGAGAGATCAACATATCTCATATTTTAGAACATTTGTTGAAATCAAGAATGCTGTCAACACCTCACTAGAACTGCAAAGATGTGTAGAAATAGTGGGCAGATAGATACAAGAGTGTATTTAAGTATTGTTTAAATGCAGAAGGGCATTATTTTGAGTATCGTATATATCTTCGTTGAGTTTCAACTCAAATAGGATTGCACAGTTGGATTAAGTTTTTCAGATTTTCAATATAAGTTGACGTCAATATGAGCTCAAGTCCTGGACCAAGTGCCCCTACCATGGGATAGGAGAAGTGTAATTACAGAAAGTTCTATAAATTAATCATTCTGAAAATTCTTTGCTGTATAGGCAAATAAATTTAGTAAAATTTCAAGTGATTACCATTACTTTATCACTCAACATCAATAGTTATCACTCAATATCAGTAGTTCGAAGAACTGCAATAACTGTATTGGATGGATGCACAGTACCTTTGATAAGATTCTCTCATTGTATGACACATATAGAATGGATGCACAGTACCTTTGATAAGATTCTCTCATTGTAGGACACATATAGAATGGATGCACAGTACCTTTGATAAGATTCTCTCATTGTATGACACATATAGAATGGATGCACAGTACCTTTGATAAGATTCTCTCATTGTATGACACATATAGAATGGATGCACAGTACCTTTGATAAGATTCTCTCATTGTATGACACCCCATCTCCATAGTAAACTACCATATCAGGGTAGTTTCCATCGGGACGGTCAGCAGGGAACGTACCGTCCGTTCCGAAGAAGTTTGTAAAGATAGAGTTTATAGCTTTGTGAGTATGGGTGCGGCACCCATAATCCGTCATGTTCATGTTAGCAAGTGCGAATTCAATCTCCGCTATAAAAACACACGAAATCTTGTTACAACAACCAAAAGAAACAAACTGGGAATTTACATGCAAAATGTCACCTCCAATTGCCATTTGTTACAGACGCTGAAGTCCGAACGCCGACTGCTGTCCTCAAAAAAGTTTGAGACTATAGAAAGATGTCTCCACGTCACATAAAAAGGAGACTTGCTGTACAGATATGTTAATAGATGGCAGCATTAGTATCGGTTAGGCAAGTAAACTTTTCCTTTATATGGAGAAATTCAAGATAATTTAATCTTATTCTTGTATATTATATTTTATACAAGGAGGATTGGCTCCCAGAGTGCAACATCGATATTCTGTCCCATATATGGGCATGTCGTGCTACAAAATTTGAATTCCAACAGCCGCCATTTTGTTCACTTCAACATTTGAATCGTGAATTTTGGTCTTATTTCTTAACTAAAAATTCTAAAACTCACAGGAAATGATCGAAATATTGGTTCGAATCTTTTGAACTGTTTATTTTGAATTTATAATCGGTTATGATTTCAGAAAATAACGACATCTCGGCGTTTTCATTGTTGGAAAATATCGACTTCGAATCTGGGAGCCAATCCTCCTTGATTTTATAGTACTATGTAAACCATATGTAAATGCATTCTTTCGTATAAATGAGGCAATAAATATAGAATACAACAAGAACCGAACTTAACAACTTATAGCCCTTGGGGATGATGTATTAATTGAATTGAAAATTCAATTCCGAGTTTGAAACATACCTTTCGTTGTGTAATCTCCTAGATTAAAGTGTATGTTAGTCCACTTGCTGAAGCTTAAAGCTCCCACGCGTACGTCCAACTGCCCATTACGTTCCTGTAAAACGAGATACAATACACTCTGTAATGTGTGTCATCTCAGAGGTGATGGCAAAAGTAGATCCGCATGAGTGACTCACTTAGAAAGGGAGGGGGCGAAAATGTAATTTATGTAAATCAACCAACGAAGAGAATTGCATTGACCTACTTCCCATTTCAGCCAAAAGGTGGTAGCACCAATCATGGCAAGGTATACCCAAAACTAGAAGCGCTGTCTGAACTTTCGCTTATCCCCCCTTTCCTCAGATTTCTGTGGCATGCACAGCTTATTTCGTGTGACAGTTTTAGTATTTGATTAGACGAAAGCATTCCTGATGATAACGCTCCTATCATATTGAAATATTACAATTGCCCAACAATTGAACAACACCCAAAAGCCATTTAAAATAATAGACACACATTTTTTGTCAGCTCTTATGGGAAATATTACATTTATATATATATATAATTATTTTAAATTTGAAAAACAATGCGAAGAAATGCTTTCGGATCTAGACTGATGTAATGAAAATATTTTAATTGCCAGATTCAAATACGTACCGCAATGTTATGGCTCCTTAAAAGGTTCACTAGTACGTACCGCAATGTTAAGGCTCCTTAAAAGGTTCACTAGTACGTACCGCAATGTTAAGGCTCCTTAAAAGGTTCACTCGTACGTACCGCAATGTTATGGCTCCTTAAAAGTTCACTAATACGTACCGCAATGTTAAGGCTCCTTAAAAGGTTCACTCGTACGTACCGCAATGTTAAGGCTCCTTAAAGGTTCACTAATACGTAACGCAATGTTAAGGCTCCTTAAAAGATTCACTAATACGTACCGCAATGTTAAGGCTCCTTAAAAGGTTCACTAATACGTACCGCAATGTTAAGGCTCCTTAAAAGGTTCACTGCGTGCCATTTAGCTCTAACCCTTTCTTCCATAGAGATAGAACATGACGTATCAAAGATGAACAATATATCTCCGCATACTGAAATGAAATGTATATAAATACGATATAGGTTCTCGAGGAACCCATAGCCATAACTTATCGTCTTTCTGAAGTTAATTTAAAGTGTCATGAACTGAATGTAAAGGTCCATGTGCAGTATAGCATATTAAAACATATTATTTTAATAAAAAAAACTTTGTATTTATGCCTAGAAAGTTCTCATGGTGAAGGATATAACCGTCTAAGATCACGTACCATACTGCACATGGACCTTAACTGCTCTGTAGTGAAAGGAAGGTGTCGGGACCTTACCATTGCCATATACACCCCATGCAGACAGATCGTCATAAATTACATTCGTATGATGTGAGACTCGACATTCACCAGGAAACTTGAAATAATTTGTCACCCATGGAGCAAATTTTTGCTGCTAAATAAATGGTGAATGACAGCCAAATTAAGTTTATATAAGTATGAAAATAGCATGATGTCTTGATATTTAAAGGTAACGTCGTTGGCAGTGATGGCGGTGATGGTTTTTCGTTGCGGTTTTATCTTTACATCTTAATCTCAATCACCACCATCACTATATTCCATGGGCTTTCAACTAGAGCCCATGCTATATTCAAACGAGTTTCCTTGAAGTATCAAGACGAACTGCTATTCTCATACTTATAGAACTCAATGTGACTGTCATTCACCATTTATAAAGCAGTAAAAAAAATTGATTTGCTTCATGGGTGGCAAAATCTTTCTAATTTCACTGTGAATGTCGAGTCTCGCACCATACGAATGTAATTTTAGGCGATCTGTCCGCATGGGGTGATATACTGAGTATAAACTGCCGGGACCTTATCATTGTCAAATTTACTTTTGGCATGTACTGACGTATAAAGTGTCGTGACTTTACCATTGCCATGTACTGACGTATAAAGTGTCGGGACTTTACCATTGCCATGTACTGACGTATAAAGTGTTGTGACTTTACCATTGCCATGTACTGAAGTATTAAGTGTCGGGACTTTACCATTGCCATGTACTGACGTACAGGTATACAGTGTCGGGACCTTACCATTGCCATATACTGACGTATAAAACGTTGGGACCTTATCGTTATTCTGTAGTGAAACGAAATTAATGTAATCTTACCATTGTTCTGTAGTGAAGGAAATTCGTTTGGACCGAGGGGTGAAGTTTCATCTGGAAGGAGTTCCTCGTCACCAAAGGTCTGACTTTGGATAAACTGGGGTATCATAACCAAACATACACAAACTAGGATATGTTTCAGGTTCGACATCCTGTAAGTACAATAGCAAAGGAAAGAAAGCCATCAGTAAAATCATTGATTCTATCGAAAATAAAAATCATTGACAAAACTGACCATTTTTGAACACGAAATTTTTAGAGATGATTTAATGTTGGATTTCTTAAAGTAACTTATGTTTTACCAATGTACGTGTCAAGTCTCTAGACTTTAACAACTATAACTGATACAATCCTAACTCCGCAGTGATATTACATTTTCCAGGGTGTAATAAGGAGTATATTTCCACCAAGTTTAATGACATGATTACAATCCTGAGATATCATAATCACTTGCGAAATTCATTGGTCAACCTTGAATACCAGGACTGAACATCCCTATTTGAGTACAAGTAAACCCTTGAATACCAGAATTGAATATCCCTATTTGAGTACAGGTAAACCCGTGAATACCAGAATTGAACATCCCTATTTGAGTACAAGTGACCAGTTAAATATCATAATTGAATATCCCTATTTGAGTACAAGTAAACCCTTGAATACCATAATTGAATATCTCTATTTGAGTAGAAGTCAACCATTGAATAGCAGAATTGAATACCCTATTTGAGTACAAGTAAACCCTTGAATAACAGAATTGAATATCCCTATTTGAGTAGGAGTCAACCATTGAATATCAGAATTTGAATACCCTATTTGAGTACAGGTAAACCCTTGAATACCAGAATTGAATATCCCTATTTGAGTAGAGGTCAATCCTTGAATACCAGAATTGAATACCCTATTTGAGTACAAGTAAACCCTTGAATACAAGAATTGAATATCCCTATTTGAGTAGAAGCCAACCCTCGAATACCAGAATTGAATACCCTTTTTGATTATAAGTAAACCCTCGAATACCAGAATCGAATACCCTTTTTGAGTAGAAGTAAACCCTCGAATACCAAAATTGAATACCCTTTTTGAGTAGAAGTCAAACCTTGAATACCAGAATTGGATACCCTATTTTAGTGCAATCGAGTTGTTCCCATTTTTTGCTAAGCTCGGTTCGCACTTTCAATCACCTCTCTCCAGAACGTATTTGTTTTTATCAAATGCAAATGACAGTGCTCGTGCATAAACCAAATGGCCATATACTAGTAAGTAGTTAGTATAGTGAGTTTTATTGAGTCTATAATAATATTTATAGTTAAAAAGTTATTATATCTTATAAACGTATCATAAAGCAATTATATTGATTCAGTCCAAAAGACTTCAACTTAAGCTGCAATTCTACTTGGCTGTTTTAAGAAATGTATCAAGTAATGAAACAAAATGATGCGGCAAATGATGTGAAAATAATGCAAAATTAGCAAATAAAACCAAGTGAACAAAATAAAGCCTCCATATTCGACTACAAATTAAATGTAAACTCCTAAAAATTGCTCTTATATTACAATGATACCGTTCAATGTTAACGAGTGACCATATAACAGGTTGTACGTGAAGATCAATGAATGATATCTTCTTCATGCGCTTGAGATATTTTTCTATGTGACTTGCACCAACGTCTTCTAGTCTTTTGAACAGAACAGAAAAATGTGACGAACATCAAAAGAAGCAACACGCTTTTATTTTTTCGATTTTCTAAGATTGCTCGTAGCTTAATCTGTAACAGAATTTGTTATATTTAGCTATACTTAAACTGAATACAGAATCTGAAAATCAAAACATTCTAATAAGTGACCGACACGTTTATGCTTACCTTACATATATGGCGTAAATTGTTTCTTTGGTTTCCGAAGTCGTTATTCTTTAGAACGTCAAATCTGTATGATATTTAAAAGAACTGAGCAAAACAATTTATACTATTTACATATAATTCGCCTCATCAATGTCCCTGCCATAGTCATGAAAATCAATTATTTGTTGAAGTCTGGCGTCATTAGCCGGAGTCATGACAATAAATTAAATGACCTGAAACCATGGAAACATACGTGTGACAACAGTAGGAGACGACAACGAACATAAAATCAAATAAACTCTATTGTTCATCGTAAGTTTTATTTGTAGACATCAACTTTACGACTGCGTGTTGTTTTAAACAATATACTTGCTTACTTTCCCGATTCTGGACGTCCGTCATTTGAGTCAATACTGAATCATTGTTTATCATTTTATATTGTGTTATTGAAAAAAATGTTAACGTTCATTCCGATCAAGTGAGACATAAACTTTTATTTAGTTTTTATTCTAATCGAATTGCTTTTTAAGCATCCATGTATGATTTTGGATTTGAACTGCATAGATGCGTTTGAAAACAATCAGCTAATTAAATATTGCTCGTATACTAATTTAATAGAGACAATAAAAATAATCTAAAATGAGAAAACATATACTACTACAGTACACCAGCCAGGCGCAGTATAAAAAATTCAATATACACTTGAAAGTGCTGGGTAAAGTCCTGAAAGTCCCAGTGCTGCCCTATTCTCGAAAGTCCTACAGTAGGTATAGTCCTGAAAACTCTCAGTGTTGAAAGACCCAGGTACAGTCCTGAAAGTTCTAGGTAGATTCTCAAAAGTCCTACAAAAGTTACAGTCCTGAAAGCTCTGTATAGGTACAGTGTTGAAAGACCCAGGTACACTCCTGAAAGTTCTAGGTAGAGTCTCGAAAGTCCTACAAAAGGTACAGTCCTGGAAGCTGTATACTAGTATAGGTACAGCATGGAAAGACCCAAGTACAGTCCTGGAAGTTCTAGGTAGAGTCTCAAATGTCCTACAGTAGGTACAGTCCTGAAAGCTGTATACTAGTATAGGTACAGCATGGAAAGACCCAAGTACAGTCCTGAAAGTTAGAGTCTAGAAACTCTTCTAATTGTCCTGAAAGTCCAACTGGTCCAATGTTCAGTCCTGAAAGGAAAGGTCTAGGTCCAGTCTAGAAAGCCCCATGTACAGTCCTGAAAGTACAAGATAAAGTCCAGTTCAGTACTAGGTACTGTCTTGAAAATTCTAGGTAGTCTACATGTCTACATGTATGTGACGTTCTCCAGTACAGCCTAGAAAATCTTACATTTAGCGAGACTTGTCTTTGGTGTTATTCGTCATCAGTTCAGATTCCAAATTTTGCGAGAATAAATTGCTTTGAGGTATTTTACAAAGTGATATGCTGACCTACTTGTGTAAAACCTCTATAATATGGCTACAATAATGTTTTCGTAAGCTATTGTTGTTTTTCAGATAATAATGTATTAAAATGTCATATAACTGTCCATCCATTGAAAATATTGAAATTACATATTTGATTGACGTTGATGGGATCGATACGTTAACATGGTATACACTTTATGGAAAATAATGTAAGATGGATTGATATCATAGACGCATCTTTCACAAGCAATATTCCCCGAATGCCGGAGTGAGTTATGAAATACAGAAAGATATTTACCGAAAATAGGATTAAACATCTGTTTTCACACCGGAATGCCCTGAGAACGGTAAACTCAGATACCGTTGTCACAAATGACGGACGTAGCCGTCGCAGCAACTCTTTAAAGGAATATTCCTTGCCAAACCATCTCTCTCCTCATATGGTAGCTATAACCATATATATGCTTGCCATGTTTAGCAAAACACGCAAAAATGTTTTGATATGGTCAAATTTGATCACTTAGAAATGTGATGCTCAATTCCAGTAAGCTGCCATCTTTTAAAATTTCACACAGGAAGTGATGTCATCGACTCTCAAGTTTGCATGTAGCATTAGGTGAGGAGCTATTAAGAATTACAAAACCAGCTAAATATTCTTTTTCAACTTTGTATCTTATTTAATCCTTCTGAAAATCCCTTCTTTTATTCTGAGTTGACAAGCCCTGAAAATATTTTTGCACAGAAAGTAATGATCACTTGTCTAGAAGTGATTTTGTGCTACTTTCCTACACTGTTATGGGCAAGGTTATAGAAGTTGAGAGTTGATGACATCACTTCCTGCAAGAAATCTTAAAAGATGGCAGCTCACTGGAAATAAGCACTAGATTTTTAAATGATCAATATTGACCATATTAAAACATTTTCCCATGTTTTGCTAAATATGGAAACTATATATATGATTATAGCTACCATATCAAGAGAGAAAGGGTCTGGCAAGGAATATTCCTTTAATCACTTGCATACAATTATTGGTTCCCATTCATGTCTCGTTCCCGTTGTAATTTCTCCTATGTTCCATTGCAATACATATGTACACCGTTGTCCGTTGTCACATCTCACCATGTGCCGTTGTCTGTATTAATTATTTGAAATTCACATTCCGTTGTCATTGACAATATGGAAGACGGTATTTTGTGGCGATTCACAACCACATTTGATCAAAATTAGGATTTCAAATAATCACAAGAATACATGCACAGAATTAGCGACGATGTCCCATGGAATGAGAACCAAGTGATTAAAGAGTTGAAGTGACTATTTAAGTCCGTCATTTGTGACAACGGTATCTGAATTTAAACCGTTGTCAGGGTGTTCAGTTGAGACATGCTAAGATGTGACAACGGACTATGCATGGTTGATGTATATAATTGGAACATGAAAAAAATGACATCGGTCAACGGTAACTAGACACATTATAGTTTTCTTTCTTAGATACCTTGTCAAATGTTACTGTTGTCATCCCGATTTTACAGCATTTTAACCCACATTTGAATTCATACAATCCGTTATACCGTTTCATATTTTAGTTGGTAAAATTAAAGTCTGTATTTCGATGGTAGAACATATTCAACTATACGATGAGTAGGAATACACATTCTTTCATTGTTGTACCAAAGGAATTTCATCAATAATTTCATCTAATCAACAATAACAATACACTGTATATAACAAATAAGTACACACCCGGATAGAATTAAAATTACACTGTTTAGCCGGGAAATATATTTCCCTGTCACTTGTAAGACATACGCCAATCAGATAGTGAGAATATAACAGCGATGTAATTACAGGGTGGGCCAAAAAAACCACCCCCTAGCCGATATTCATGATAAATATTCATTTTTGAACATGTGCACCAACAATGATATATCATTTTAAAGATAATTTAATTTGCAACAACATGATATATAATAGAACAATTTTCAACAACCCTGGCTCGAGATATAACAATTTATGTGACATGGGGGTCAAAAAACACCTTTTCAATTCTTTCATAATTATATATTATATATTGTTTTCATTCAGTTTTTGAAACATGCATGCTCACTAAACACGTGTATGCTTATAAAACAAATTAATTTCTTCTCCAGTCATTTCAAATATGGGTCAATAGACCCACCCCCGGACCCATCCTCTGATCAGATTATTCGCTAAGGACGCGAAACCCATTGGCATAATTGATGGATCTCTGCTGAATTCCACATCCCTGATAGGCTTGTGATCTTCATAGACCAACTGTTCTAAATGCCCCAAGTACTATACCACCCTTGGTATACGCAGCTAACGAAAATTGACCGGTATGGGTCAAAAGCTGGACCGGTACGGGTTAACGGTTTTATTTGAATTTAAAATAGCCATAACTTGCTCAATATTGACTTCCTCGTGTCTAATTTGAAATATATGATGCCTCCCGATGCTTTTAAGTACCCCAATTTTTTACAGATTTTTAAACGGACCAAAACTCTCTAAATGCGCATTTATGCTCTTTTCTCTCGAGAACGACTGTCTCATTTTCACGATAACTTTTATTTAGTACTTCTAACATATAAGATCTATTTTTCCCCATCAAGGTATGATGTAAATGACATGCTATTTACATCTTGTGAGTTTCAATGACGCGCGTTTGATTTTATAAAAAATGCCAAACTTTGTGACAAACAATTTCATCAGCTATTGCCCCAAACCGGTCCGTCTTCTCGTTGCAAGCAGATTGCCCCGAACCGGTCCGTCTTCTCGCTGCAAGCAGGATGAAATTATTTGTCACAAAGTTTGGCATTTTTCTGAAAGGGTAGTGGTGTTCACACGGTGTTTCCCAAAAAGAAAAGACCATACAGGCCATGTTTTTGTTGAACCAAGAGCAAAAATATACTCTGAATGTTAATGACATGAGGTGTTAAAAAGGACTCCTCAAGGATAGGAAAAACATGTGAAAGAAATTTCATTCTCTGATAGGAAAATGCTTCATCACACAGGTCCAATGCTACCCTGGAGTTTTTGGAGATTCGAAATGACACCATCTCTAGCCCGGACAAATGACTTACTGACAGTCCCGATGCCAATAATCTTGATTACCATACCTGGAGACATCTAGAACAGTTGGTATTTAAAGATACCCAGCCTATCAGGGATGTAAAGGAACTAAAAGAAAGAATAACAAGCAGTTGAATGGTACTTCCGCATACATCCATCAATTATGCCATCAACCAATGGTTTCCGCGTCTTAAGCGAATAATCTGATCAGAGGATGGGTCCGGGGGTGGGTCTATTGAGCCATATTTGGACAAACTGGAGAAGAAATTTATTTGTTTTTTAAGCATACACATGTTTATTGAGCATGCATGGTTCAGAAACTGAATAAAAACAACATATAATATCCAATTATGAAAGACTCATGACAATGTTGCAATATTTAAATGAACAGTAAAATTTGGTAGAAAGAGGCTATTCTTCGCAAATTCGATGAAAATTGAAAAGGTGTTTTTTGACCCCCATGTCACATAATTGGTTATATTTCTATATGGGGTTGTTGAAAATGGTGCAAATTAAATTTTCTTTAAAATGATATATCATTGTTGGTGTGCATGTTAAAAAATAAATATTTATCAGGAATAATGGCTAGGGGGTGGTTTTTTTGGCCCACCCTATATATGCTATGTATTGTTTATTGTGATAACTTATAGATTAATGATAAAACAATTTAGGAAAGTTATATTTTATTCGTTGGAGTTTGCTACTCAATGGGGTTTTCTAGTTGTAAAATGCATGAATATGATAATGAGGTACAGGACGTTGAAATTCGTGTGCAATTCAACAAAGAAATTTTGAAAGCTTTTGAGAAACAGATCATACATGTACCATGCTTATAGACATTTATTTTCATCAAAACGTCAAAATTTATGGATGTTGCCCTTTGTTCAATTGTTGTCATCTGCAGCAACATCCATCAGAGCAAACAGTGCACCAATCTGAACTCTTAGTATTAGGACTGTAAATAAAACAGTTAAGGTTATGATGCCGTATTACAATTTAAGGTGGTATCAGATCTAGGGATCAACTTTAAAGACGTCTTTAACTCGTATCTCCAAACAGGCATTGATAAATGATACAAAAGGGAACTTTGGTTGGCAAACTGATGAAGGGGAGTGTAGATTTAAACTTCTTGTTATCTCCTACTTGCTCAGGTCATCACTATAGATCTACCATCTTTTTATTCATTTCCAGTTCTTCCTTTCGAGTCCAGTCTTTTTTCTTTTTTTTCTCTGCATTATATTCTTACATTAAATTAAGAAATATAGACCGGAGAGCATATGTTACTGTGACAACCATCGAGTTCAGTCCCGATATTTAAACTTTTCTAAGAGTTGTCATTCACGTTTGACTTCACTAGATGGTGTCAGTAAGTCTTAAGTATCAATCTAAATCATCGTAACAATTAGGTCTTTCTGTTTTATATGGTTTTAAGGTACTTTACTAGCGAGTTTGGGGCTCGGAGGTAGTAATATTTCTGCCAATAGATGGCGTTTATTTGTTATAGCGACAAACAGCCTTGAGCCGGCCAATCAAAACGCTGATTTCGGAACACGAAGTTGCTGCGTGATTAAGCGAGGTGAACTCATATTTCTCTTGGACTTGGAACGCCGAGTCGAACTTTCTAATTGTGTTTTAACTTGGTTTTATTTTGGATATTCTTGGTTTATTTCATTCAAAAACGGGATTTATATTGTTGTGGATTATCGTCAACAATGTTGAGATACATCCAGCGGTGAGTTAAGCTTTATTTTTGGTAGATAATTGAAGTTTTAAGTCTCAGAATCTGGGAAGACATTTTCGCCATTTTCAGACAGTGCCTGTCGAGAAATCCTCGAACTTTTGGTTCAAGTCGCAGCTTATTATGTGGCCATCTGCGATTCATTTCTAGTTTGTTTTCTTAGTTGCAATGTTAACTTTATGTGTCGGTAAAGCCGCACACTTTGATTAATTATTGTTCGTGTATTTTGATCTTGAAAACTTTGGCAAAAGGCTGAAGATTCGCACATGTTTATGATGCAAGAATTTTGCATACTTTTCTGTTGATTTTAGTTGAATATCGGGTATCATTTAAGTACTATTTGTGAATTGTATCTTTGTTCAGGATTTGACCAGGATGCATGTAGATATTTGGTGCTTATTGTTTGTGTTTTCTGTTAATAGATTGAGTCATTTACGTGATTCCCGGGGATACACGTGGAATGCACGTGATTCGCCATTGTTCATGTTGTTATGAAAAGTTGTGAGCATTCTCAAACTTTTCCGTCAATATATCTGTGTTAGTTTTACTTTAGTTATGTGTTAATCTAGGTTGTTCCTTATGTCACAGAAGACTGTGACATTGGACATTTTGTGTCTATGATCAATAATCCAACATGTGAATTACATGTATTTGTTAGTTATTTTGGACCACTGTATAGTGTAGTGATGCTACATGAAAAAGGCGTTTGATGCATTGGCTCAGAGCATGAGTATGCATTGTAACTGATCATGCAGAATTGCAGTGATAGTTACTTAGGTTTAGTGTTAGTGTACATATCTTAGTCTGTAGTTCTCTGTTTTGTGATTTGCCAGCATTCTGTGCATAAATTCTGAGGTTAATAGAGTGGCAGTAATTGTTATTTCATTTTGAGGATCTTGCATTTTTATTTGGACATAAGCTCAAATGGCAGAAGTCTGCTTTAGGTTTTCATATAGAGCCAAATCTATGATTTTCGTTGTTCACAGTTAACAGGCCTTGATTGTCAGTTCTTTATATTTTGTATAAAGTGCTTCATTAGTACCGTTAGGAATACGCGGAATGCCGCTACTCTTGCAAATACCATCTCCTATCATATTTCACGATAATTCTAGATTTAACTTTTTCATATACAGTTAGATAAATACCCATTTTTGTACAAAGGATCAATAAATAAGTTTTGTTTTATATTTATAGAAATTTACATGCTTTTCTTATGTTCAATTATGGGCTGAGCATAGTGAGATGCTGCCATCTATTTTTATGTCATTCAGATGACATATAGTTCAAGTGCTGCCATCTTTTGAACTTTGTCAAAGATGATTTAATCCAACCACTGCAGAAGGCTGCTGTGGACAAGGCTATAACACAATAGTAACTTGATCGTTACAAGTGAACCCTAGAATATTTTTATGTGATGATCTGACAATTTAATTACCGCTCGTTAAACCGCCAACACCAAGTCGGGTCATTACATTACATTGATGAAAAAATACAAATGTGCTAGGCACAAACGTTTTGTGAACCTCAAACGACCGAAGGGAGTGTTTAGCTTCTGAGCTATTTAGTATATTCATGGGCTGAAAGCCCATGGTATATTGTCTAATCGTTGATAGTATACCAATCTCATCATTTATATAATTTTACATTTTGAACAATCGTTCAAGAAAGACAAGATGTTACAAGAAAATAGGGCAAATACTTACAGTGGTATTATGCACACATTAACTCCATCGTCATCTGAGATTTGAGGTCTCGCCTCTGCCACATGCGCACTTGCAGTGATTGCCAAGATCACGAGAAACAACGTGCCAGTTTGCATTTTGCAGCTTCTAAATATTTTAAAAGTTTAACTTAATATTTTGAAACTACGTGAAACAATCTAAGAATCAAACAAGAACATTAAAGGAATTGGAAGGTAAAGAGTTGAGAATAAGAATAAACGAGGCATTAATATGACAAAATGTCACCACATTGTAAGTTATTATGTCACCACCAAAAAGTGGTGACATGTTGTTATTGTATGGTCTCCGTTTTTTACGGCGGTTGGTGGTTGGCGGTTGTCGATCGGCGTCTGTAACAAATTCTTACAACTTCCAATAACTTAACAAAAACTGTTTAGACTGACTTCAATTCTTTTCAAAATCACCTATATGTTTTGAGAAGTTCAAATCTGACATTACTGGGCTTTCAATCTAAGGCCCGGTTATACTGTCATTAATAAAAATAATTCTTATCCATTAAAGTGTCTCACATATTCGATCAAAACTTGCCATGCAACCATGTTAGTCTACCTTACTGGCCCCCCTTGCTGTAACAAGGAACACAAAACACATTAAAACGTAAACATAAACCAATTAGTCACTTCACTATGAAAGTGAGGGGTGTTAGCAAATATGATTTAGCAGAATACGCTGTGTGCATGGACTAACACAATATCAGTGGTCATTTACTGTGTCAACTTAGTAACCCTTGCATATCGTGCTCACTCAAGTATTGAATAATTTTTTTATGATCTAAATGTTTGTGGTTTATAAAAAAATGTGATATGTTTTAGTTAGAAATATATTAATTAATATATTCATTCAAACAGCACTAGAATGCGGGGAGAAAGAGCAATGGTGACAAAATGCAGACAGAATTTTCCGCAAGGGTTTCAAACATTTCTGGACACAATCATACATGTACTTCATGTGTACTGTTATTTTTAGTGCTGTATTTATAGATATAATTTCACGTATTAAAATCCTATTTTCTAGCAATGACTTCAAATTCGGAACCCATATCACATTTTCTTCAATAACTCCAAACATGTGTAAACATTGACCATGTGCATATAAATTCAGATTTCACGAGCTCTTTCCTATTCGAGTACCTCATACACCCCTGCATGGATTTGAGTTGGATTCGCCTTTTATACGTGAGCCGATACACATCGCAAACGCTGATTGGATAAAGATTGCGAGAATCTTTAAGCTTATAAAAATCAGTCTTATTCTTATACATGTAAGTAATCTAGTAAAAAAAATGATATACATGTACTATACACCAGCATTAACATCTCAGTACACTGGCGGACATTTTAAACATTTTAACGTATTCCTGGGCCTCAGCTTTCAATAGCAGGGGGCGAGTGTCAGAAATCGCCGTTTGTTTTCGATAATTCGCCGTTTGTTAGAAGTCAAATATTGTCTAAGTTTTGGGGAAAATTAAAAGTCTTGTATAGACTATATTTTACTTCATTCAGCGATCTTGTTTGCACTTCCTTTTCTAGGATTTGTACCTCAATTTCGAACTGCAATGGGACTCATTATAATCGTAAAGATCACGTGATATCATTATAGTAGTAAACAACAGAGTAATTTTCTACCAGTTTGGGCTATGCATTTTAGGTCACTATTTGACCACTATAATGTGCATAATAATTCAAATTCCAACCTTTGGTATAATCAGAGTTGGTTATTAAATTCATAAATTATGAATGTAGTTTCGCACAGGTGTCAACGGAAACAAACAGTGAACCTAGCTTTCCCGAACCCGAGTTTCCAGAATTCGCCTCGCATCATATATTGGATCCCTCCCTTATCATCCTGGTGTCTAGTTAATAATACCCTTGAAATTACAATGCGAAGTTACTTAAGCATGATAAAAAGTGTATGTTTGGATGGGGGAGGTATGTGTTGATACTGAGAACGTGTGAGAACAAGTCTCCATAATTCACAGTTGAGTTTTTGAAAAGACCCAATTAAAAGCCATCTCCATAAGGCGTCTTCTATAGAGGAGCTAGGTCCTGGGGGTATAAGACACTACACAATACTCTCCTGATCATGCGATATATAACGAGTTGTTCAATCGACACTGTGATTCACTCACTTTTCAAAGTAGAGGATACATTACAATATCAAATGATGTAAAGCAAATTTAATTCACTCCAGTTGTTGCATTTCAACTTTGATATGGGATGTACAAAGTCTCTGTAACTCTGCGTGTAATATTGCCCCGGGTATTGTGATATCATGTTACCATAGCAACCATAACTCTTCCCGAATTACATAATTTTTGTCGAAACTTTGCAATTGTAGTTGCAATACATGAAGGTACATTATGTAAAATTTTGAAGACAATTGGTGCATATTTAACAAAATACCAGCACCAGTCCTGTTACTTTTGGAACACCTTGTATGTCACCATTTCTGGCAATGTCTGGAGGTGGTAAAAAACTAAAATGATATACACATCATCACAAGTGAATCATCTATTAATACATCACTCTCATTTTAATAATGACATTACACAATTCTAGATTTTGAATTATATCAAAAGTGTACAGGTGTATTTGGATTTGTGGAATGCAACCTGTGTATATGGTGTACGGGTAATAAGTTATCTTATAAAAGGTAAAATGCATTCTATATATATAAGTTGCCCTAGTCATTCCACAGTTCCAGGTGTTATTTTGTAGAGCCCATGTCTTGCCACATCACACGTTGAAATGACTTTGACAAACCTGCAAAAAGCAAGATCTTGGACATCTTTCTTTCGGTCCATGGACTCTAAAATAACAATAGTGACAAAGGAATTTTCAGATAAGCCTTGGTTAAGCTGTTTCCTCCTGTTGATCCTCCAATCGTTTTGATGATTTAATGATAAAACATATAAACCTACATACGTTTTCACTTGTTGAGGACCTGTCAACATTCCCGTTTACTTATTAATGTAGGGTCTAGCAGGGGTCGATTAAAATTTAAAAATGTTTAATTTTGATATTTTGAAGTTTACAAATGATGATCTTCGAATGAATTGGTTGTTTGAGAGGTAATTAGCATAATAAATCTATTTTATTTGTTTAATTGAAAATGAGACCATCTGCTCGTCTATATTTTTGTTCAATTTTTAAAAAATAAATGACACAATTATTTCACCTTGATTGTACATCTATGTTGTTCTTCAGGATTTGACAATTTAAAGAACTATTTATTGAATGTGTAATCCATGTTTTTTAATCATCTTTATCACTGGTGTTCTCCAGGGTTGCACTTTTTTTCACGCCTATTTTGATTCATGATCTTGTTATATTTTGATTCATGATCTTATAGGTAATAGAATTTGAGTGTATGAGCGAACATAAATATAAAGGCTTGTTGAAATGGGTGATGGTGATGTGTTGGGTACATTGTATCCCGTGCACCCTTCTACCACAAAACAGTGGAATTAATTAGTTTTTGATTTTTTATTATCTCAAACAGAGAAGTGTCAAGAAATTATCAATAAGTACCTCTCCGAAAACAATGGAATAAAATCAATTCTGAATTTTATTCTATTGCTCCTTACACTAATAGTATTGGTAAAAGAATCTAACAAGTATCATCATAAATAAGTTATAAATCCAATGTATGTAATTTCGAATTTTCAATAAAATTGACTTAACTTGAGGATATCATGAGGATCTTTTTCTGAATTTTATTGCATGAAAAGATTATTCAACAAGGGGTCTTGATATAATCTGTACGTGTCCCTCGTATGCGGACGATACGGTAATTATTGGTTATCACAAGAAGTCTGTACAGGATGTGTTGAACTTAATGTACGATTATAGTTTGAAATGGCGTTTTAACTTCCACCCTGACAAGTGCAAAGTGATTGTGTTTAGCAACAGGAGGGTACATGATCTTAAAATGGACCTTTTCTTTGGTGATAAAAAGCTTCAAACTGTCAACTCCACCCAACACGTTGGCCTCCCTCTTTCTAACTATAACAGCAACAAGGAGCTGATTGATACAGCCTTATCCAAAGGCAGGCGCGCTATGAATGCGTACGTAGGTACTACAACGCACATGAAAAATGCTACAAATCCACTTACAGCCTCTAAATTGTATTGGTCCGTAAGCATTCCGTCGATAACGTATGGCATGGAATTGGTGCCTCTTAGTGAGGCAGACTATAGAGCCTTAGACCAGGGCCATCGTAGCATATGTAAAAAGATACAAGGGTTACCAGCTCACACACCTGACGCAGCTGTTCTACCCCAGCTAGGATGGCAGACGATAACTTCAACAATTATAATCGCCAAATTGATGTTTTTGTGGCAGTTATTGTTTCTAATATCTGGGTCTGTGTATCGCAGCATTGCTATCAAGAGAATTACAATGTACAGACATGGTGTTAAACTTAACAGACTGTCACCGTTGCGAGACATAATGGAGCTTGTGAATCGATATGGAATGACAGACATGATATATCAAGTACTGGACAATGGTGCAAAACTGCAAATCCATCAAAATTGACATGGAAACGCCATGTGCAGAATGTGATTAGGAATTGCGATTTGGATGGTTGGAGACACGAAGTTAACACATATAAAGAACTAACACTCTATAAGGAAGTTATCCAATGTGTGAAACCCTGTATATGGTGGACAATAGCTAGGAGTGATTCAAGGTTCATTAAAAGATGTAACTTAATGGTACGCTTAATGGTCGGACAAGGCCGCTTAAGAATTAACACAGGCGAATGGGAGAGAATACCGTTGAGAGATAGGTTTTGTGAGAGCTGCTATGAAGAAATTGAAACGTTTGAACACTTTGTCTTAAAATGTAGACTGCACAATAGGGGCACATTAAATACAATTCTAGATGGAGTACCAAACATTAGTGCAATGTCAAATTCAATGAAACTGCGAGCTCTCTTCGGGGGAGACAACTGTATTAACGATTCGAAAGTGGAACGTGTGAGCACTATTATACAGAACATGTACCTCGCCCGGATTGGAGTAAATTAGATTTACTTGGGATAGCTATGGCCTAGTATAAGTTAATAGGCATA